ACCGGAAGCTTTCCCTACTCTGGAGTTGAAATCGCCCACCATGACAAGTTCTCCCTTCCGAGGGGGGGGATTGTTTTACAACGTCGTTGCCAAGCGACGAAAACTCAACCCCGATGGCAAAAACCGAGGGGGGAGGGGGGGGGGTTGATAGATGCGTCCCACCCAACGTGCCTCTTATCCTGATTCTTTTTGCCGACGATAATTTGCCCGACGGAATTTTTTGATTCCGCACGCGAGTTCTCTAACTGGTAGACCTCTCACGGCGTCACCACCACGTGCTACCTCCTTGACAAACAGATCGCCCCGAAACCTTGAAGGCTGTACAAACCAAGCCTGTTCTGATTGCTGTGTATGTGGGCCGAGAAACGCCAATCCACGTCAGCTCAAGCAGGAATCCGTTTGGAGATTTCGCGCACGTATTTTTCCCCTACAATATTTTCCACCTACTGACGTGGACGAAATATTTGCACACAACCTGTTGTATGGTAGGACAGACCATGACCTAGCTCGCCTATGTCTTACAGATCAGCATGGAGCAAACATCCTCAGATCACTTAGGCAGATGTCCTTCTGGATAAACATGGAGCAAACATACTTAAATAGGGTATGTCCTTCAGATGATGAAGTAAACATACTGAGATCACCTGCGTCTTTCAGATCACGTCGGAACTACCCAGATCACCTGTGTCCTTCAGACAACCAGCGGACAAACATCCTCAGATCATCCGAGATCACCTCAGGCAAACATGCCCCATGCACCTATGTCTCTCAGATAGCGCCTCGAGCGAAGATTCGATCATGGCATGGGTGGGCACGTGTGTGGATGTATGTCCAGACTTGTCACTCACAACGCGCACTTCACGCATGATATACAGGGCAACGTGGCAAATGATGACCGCATGGTAAGGATTCAATCAGAATGTACAGCTTGTGTGGTGCGGACGGACAATCCCATTTGATTATTTTCGTATTTTTCGTACCCCTCCATCCTCGTGGTTCATGGTACCACATGGTGCGTATGATGGTTTGTTGTTTTTTCTCTCGGCACGATCGATGCACCTATGCATATTATGGTCATTTTCTTTGTGGTTGTTGTCGTTGTTGTTGTTGTTGTTGTTGTTGTTGTTGTTGTTGTTGTTGTTGTTGTTTTCTTCACATTAAACTCGTGTCAGTCACTAATCCCAAAATCTAGCAAAGACTCGGTCCGTGGTCACAAAAATGCTAGAGCCATCAGAAGATCTAAAGAACACACACACTATTTGCAAGAAAAGGGTACACAAGCTCGAGGAGGCACACCTACAATTCCTGCAGCACGTTTGCGTCCTCACAACTGAACTACACGCCAACACACTACAAATCGACTTCAGCAGCAGCATCACCCCCCTTGTCCCGCATTGAACCGAAATGAATGTTTGTCGACTACAGCGTACTGCTGTCTGAAGTGCTGTCTGTACAATAGTAACACCATGGTGCATGGTACACAAGCTCGGGGCATGCAGCTGCTGTCTGAAGTGCTGTCAGAATGAGTCCGTGGACATACAACAAAGAAGAACACCCACTCAAAGCCATCATTGCAATTGACAATCATCCGAATCTATCCAGATTATCTGTGTTAGGCACAGTGTAAACATCGACTCTGACTAGGAATCGTTCCACATTGCAGGGGTCTTCCACGATGCAGGTAAACAATTAAGGCACCCGGGTTATCCGCGCCATCTCTGCCGCGTCTCTCTACAAAACCAGTGACGTCATCACACACACCCAACACCTATATTCAGGAAAAAAGACGGGAAATAATTGACAACACAAGAGACGTTTGTTTGTGCGCCACGGTTCGATGCCGTCCGCATGCTCCGGTGCCGTTGCTCCGGTGCCGCTGCTCCGGTGCCGCTATGGCCAGTCCTAGCACGACCATACTCGACCCGCTCCGCTTCGTACACGCTCTCGTTGCTGTCCTCCCCAGTCGGTTCCTCGCTGTCTCCCTCGTTGCACTTAGGGTTCTTGGTCTGAAAATTCTCGCGCCGAAGGGTCAACCAGCCCAATCAGCTCGTCACCACCTGTCCCCTCCTCCTTTGATAGCAAAGCCAGGTTACTGAGACAGTACAGCTCCCTCTAGCAAGCCTAGGGCCGTGTACGTAATGCCCGTCCACCTTTCTGATGGCCTCCGCGCACAAAGATGAGATGGGCATTGCTGCCTACACCGACGGCCTGGAGGCCCGCGCATCTGCACCATTGTACCTGACGCACCAGTGCCGACCCAACTCCACCACTACGCACGCCTCGCGGCGGGTGCGCCGCAGCAAGAAGCTATCGGTCCCTTGAGGGTGAGTCTAGCCCTGCTCGCTGGAAAGACCCCCCCCTCGCTATGGGTCATGCCTGAGCAAAACCTTGCCGATGCAGCGAGGGGAAGAAGGGTTGCGACAGTTAGGAACAAGGGAACTACAGCATATTGGCAAGTGCATGTCGTTCGTTTTCTCGTCCAACGGTTTGAGCCAGGACCAGATCCAGGCATCTCCAAAACACCTTCTCCGGGTGTTTATGCGTAGTAATAGAAGCCGCATCTGCTCAGGACACATACAGCATTCAGCCGCCGACGGGCTTGCCCTAAGGCCTCTACCAAACGCCACAAGGTGCAACTCTCAACTTTACGCCAACAGGTCAAGCGAATATCCCTTGAAAACGGCAGATCCGGCGCAAGCACTAAAATTCGATCACCCACCCCTTTCAGATATATCTCGGGCAAACTGCCTCAGTTACCTGTGCCCAACAGCTTACCTGGTGCAAACATGTCAGTCATGCCTTTCAGACCACCTCGCCCAAACATACCCCGATCACCTATGTCCTTCAGATCATCATGGAGCAACGTGACACAATCACAGCATCATGTATGTCCCATAGATCACCTCGGGGAGGCGTACTTCGATCACCTGTGTCTTGCGGATAGTTTGGGGCAAACATATTCCGGCCACCTATGCATATGTCCTTCAGATCACCATGGAGAAAAAATATCCCGATCATATACGTCCTTGAGATCACCTCGGGCAGACGTACCCCTTTCACCTCATGTCCTTCAGATCATCATGGAGCAAACATACACAGATCACTCGTATGTTTCAGATACCGTAGCCCAGAACAGACATGCTCCGATTACTTGCGTCCTGTCAATCACCTTAGGCAACATACCCGTTGCTTTTTCTTATATCACCTCGGGGAGACATACCCCAATCACCCATTTCCTTCATATCAACATGGGCAGCATATCAACATGGGCAGCAAATATAACCGGTCATTCATGTCCTTCAGATCATTATGGAGCAAGTATACCTCGATTACCTCTGTCTTTCAAATCACCTCGGGCAACCATTGCCCGATCATCCATGTCCTTCAGATCATCATGGAGCACACATACACAAATCTTCAGAACACCATGGAGCAAGCATGCCCCGATCACATATGTCTAAATCACCTCGGGCAAACATTCTCCGATCATCCATGTCTTTCAGATCTCTCGGGACAAACATGCACCGGTCACCTATTTCCTTCAGATGATCATGGAGCAAGTAACATACCCCGATCACCTATCGTTCAGGTCACGTCGGGCAACCATAGGCAGATCGTACATGTCCTACCGATCACAAGGGACGCACCCTTCGAAGGAGCTAGGTCGATCCGAGGGATCTAATCTGTCCTATGTGTGGAAAATATCCACACGTATTCTTTGATTTGCTCACATGGAGCAGCATTGCTCGGCCCACACAGACCCCACAGCCATCAAAACAGGCTACAAAGCAGCCTATTGATGTACAGGTGGGTACAGCCATGAAGGTTTCGCGGCGATCTGACCATCACGGAAGGAGCACGCTGTGGTGATGAAGGTTATGCCAATCGTGACTACTGTTAATCCGTCGGGTCTTTTCTCGTTGACCATAAGAGAGTCAGCCTACCGTTAGGAGATAACGACGTATTGAAATTTTCCCAAGCGTAAGTGCTCACAACAGCAGTGAGTGGGATTGTAGTTGTGGTAGAAACCCCGTAAAACGTTCTGGTTGAAAGGTTCGGGCAACAACGGTCTGGCTCTCTGCTGGAAGCTACGCACGATCAGGACCACTCTGCCAACCACAACAAATGCCTTGTGCTTGCAATGGCCCGACGTGACATGCTCCACCACCAGCCAACCCGCTTCTCTCCGTATCGTATTTTCGCCCGGGAATGGTATTCCGGGCGATCGTGCGGGGTGGAATTTCGAACCGCAGGACTTCATGGACGGTATGACCACCATGCCCAACGAGATCAGGCGAAACTCGCAGCTGATGCGAACACTGGACAAAGATGCACACGGTCTCTCATCGTAAGTTCGTTCGAGGACACCCCATTAGGGGCCCATTCGGGGGGGGGGGGGGGGGNNGGGGGGGGGGGGGGGGGGGGGGGGGGGGGGGGGGGGGGGGGGGGGGGGGGGGGGGGGGGGGGGCACCGTGATTGTTTGAAGGCACATTAACACGTGTGTCGGCAATCAACCCAACCTCGGTAGGCCGAGGTCCTTTTGGGAAGGTTAACAGGCGGAGAGAACAATGACAGCGATTGGGAGTGACTGGTGACTTCGGACTGATTGAAAGCGTTTAGCGTACAACAGAGAATGGTTGTGGACGATGGAGGGGGGGGGGGATGAACTGTGTGGGCACGAACCAGGCTTGTGCTATATCGGAAGCTTGAAGAGTCGAGCCGGCACTCTCCAGTTGTCGAGGATCGGGCATGCCTCAATCTCTGGCGGGGAAAACAAGGTGCTCAGGATATTCAACACGCCCGCAGTCGGGGTTGGGCGACGTACACAACTTGGTTGCAGTTTATCTCAGATTTTGATAGCACTTTCCGTACACCATGAGACAGCTTTAGCTGGGTTGCTTCATGCTAGACTGTTGTGGCAAGATCCGTTGGAACTAAGATCAGATCCTATCAGCCTTGATTGACTGCTGTGCGGTTTCTCCAACATACGTGTCTTGCCCCGATTTTTCCTGTCGCCGACACGATGCAGAGAGCTTGAGGCCCTGCACAACAAGTTCTTGGGGCAGGCCAGAGAAAAGATGAAGGCGAGAGGAGACAGCCAGGTACGGGAAGAAGAGGCAACGAGCACGTGTCCAAGCTCGATGCCGTCGATAGATTAGGGTCCGGTCGCCCGGACCACACGCATGTGCGTCGTGTGTTTTGCGGTGGAGGACGTGTGGCGGTTCGTCTTGTGCGGCTCGCTCATTGCCCCTGTTGTTCTGTGCGCCAATAACGGCAAGGGTTTTCTTGAGCGCGTCTTTAACTCTCTGTAGATGGACAGCACTTCATCTGAGCGGCCCATAAGCAAATGTGGCCAGTGCGGACATTCAGGAGACTGCGTTACGTCATGTCTGCACCGCGGTTACAGAGCAACAGAGTAGTAGCAGCAGCAGCAGCAAGAGCGGTGTGGTGCGGACATAAAGGAGACTGCGTTACGTCATGCCTGCACCACGATTACGGAGTAACAGAGTAGCAGCAGCAGCAGCAAGATCAACAAGAGCGGTGTTTGAAATTGGCCTTCTGCCAGTGGCTGCTTCCTCCCGGTCTCTTCTTGTAGCCTACTTGCCTGCTTGCTGTACTTTCCCTACATACGGCATGTCCCACTGGATGGTACGAGCTGCACCTGTATATTGGCACCACGGAGCCCTATGCGGGCAACCTCTCCACCTGCCTGTACCTCTACCTGGTGTACCGGACACAACGGTACTGCCGTACCCGTTTGTCTTGTCAACCATTACGCCAGCTAGCTGTTCTTGCGCGATCGGCCACCCATGTCGGCCCGGAGTGATACGATTCTCTTTCGCATCGTCGTCTGTGTTACGTATCGCGCATCGTCTCTTGACCTCGCGTGGCGTAGGACCTCGACCCGAAGGTCCTCGTTGACGACCCCCCCCTGATGGCCGAAATCGACAGCTTATTCTCCCGCACCAAGCAGATCGTCGACGAAAAGGCAAGTCACCCCGGTCGGTGTCTCGCACACAACGGGTGATGCATAGTGCTGGAGAGGATGGGACCTCTCAAAGAAATTTCCGATAACGTCCTGGAGAGATGAACGTTCGTTACGCCTATTTTGGCCACTTCTCCCCTTTGTTGTGGAATTGCCATGGCAGTGCCTAGGAAATATCGTGCCCAAAGGATGTGTGAAGAATAGCGGAACCGTATGTAAACGTACTGTTGTGCGCCAACGTGCGCGCAGCGGATTTTTTTTGTCTTTTTGCGGGTAGGCCCTGTTTTGGTTCATATGTCGTTGGTCATTATGGGTTGCGCTCTTCCTCAGGAAGATGGCCCACGCCGTGCGGCACACTCTAGCACGTCTTGGTCACTTTCTGGACCTCAAAAAATATGTTTCTCAGTTGTGTTGTAAATAGTTTCGACCACTTTGCTGTGTTGAGAGACTTATGAGTTTTTTTTGTTGATTCGAATGTGTCGTCGGCTGCTGCTACTTGTGGCAGAGATTGTATACCGGTGAGGTTGTTTGAAGACGAACTCTTTTCCCTGCAACAGCGCAAGAGACACATTTTAAATTTTAAATGCATTCTGTAAGAAAGATATATACGCATGTTGTAGGAAACTTAGCTCTCGTGTCGTGCGCTTCTCCTGCTTGTGTTTGTTTTGCCGCAGGTTGCAATCGCGGACCAGACGCACCAGATGGTGGCAGACAGACTAAAGAGGCTCACGACGGACCTCGCTAGCTTCGAGCAGGTGTCTGCCGCCTTTGTCTCGACGCGGCGCAATATTTGTTGGGGTTCCAGTGACTTTTTTTTCACTGGGAAAGTAGTTTTTTCTCTGCCTTCGGCTGCTGCGATACAGACGTCCACCCTCCCCCGCCCGACAAGTTGTATTTCTTTTGCCCGATTTTTTGTTGGTCTTTCTCGAAATAAAGCGTGTGCTATGAAACCAACAGTCTTTCGAAAAACCTGTGCTTGGAAAACTCGCCTCTTTTCTCCCGCACGTGCTTCCTGCTTGCTGCACACCGGGCGCACTGACCGCTACTGTTGTTCGTTCCCCACCATCACTGCAGCGTGCACGCATCTCTTTCTCTCTCAACTCGTCTCCCCCCCCCTCCTCTCCTTCCGGGCTGCGCTCTAGAATATACGCCCCGCCCCACGCCGCCATGCTGCGCGGTGATTGTGGCATTCTCCCCGCCTCCACCGCTTTGAATCGCCGCACGGTCATGGTCTCCAACGTCAACCACGGGCACCACGACTCCGACTAACACCGACACAAACACACACACACTTCCTCTGTTGCTACCGTTTCTGTCTTTGATCTGGAGAATCCCTCACGGGGTCCCAGTTAGCGGCATTTAGAAGTGTTTTGTGTTTTCAACCACATTAAGACTAACGTCTTTTCATTGGTCAGCCGGTTCGCGCGGACGATGCTAATAATAGAAACACGCACACACATGCACACCTCTGCGGCACTGCAGACGCTGCACAGTCAGGGGGAGTTCGACGTGGGGGCCGCGCAGCCGGGGGACCAGGTGGCCTTCCAGGAGGACCCCGAGGCGGACTGGGTGCTGGGCAGGGTGTTGTCGTGGATGCACGAGACCGGCCAGTACGAGGTGCGTGCACCCCCAATCCCCCGTTCCTCTTGCCGGTCGTCGCCCTCATGATGGTTTGTTGTAGCCGTTCTGTGCCGTTGTCGCCTAACCTTGTCCGGCCGCCTCGGTATGTGTTTGTGTGTGTGTGTTTTCTTTTTAACCAAGGGCGGGGTTTGTTCGTAGGGCGTGGATTCTGGGAGTGTTGTGCTCGTCCGTTGTTGCGCCTCATGTGTCTGTGTGTGTACGTAGCGTTTTGTTTTCTGGCATCGACCGCTCTAGCGGGCTGGCCAATGAAAAGAAATCAGTCTCAGTGCGCCTATGGACGAAGAACGCTTCTGACGTCAAAAACGCTCCTGCAGGCAATGTTCTTGAACCCCGTGTGTTTTGTTTCTTTCGTAAGCATCGACTGCGCTAACCGGCTGTCCAATGAACAGACGTCATGTAGAATGTCTGTGTGCTGCGCCGTGCTCTGTGATTCACGTTTAACGCATTTCTTGTGGTTGCTTTTTGGACAGCTGCCAGCCGGTGGCGATGGTAGCAAAATATCCTGGTTTTGGCGTGTGATTTCGATGGAATCAGCGGCCGAGGTTTGATAGGGTTCGTTGTAGGTTCGCCATGCCGTGTTCAGGTGCCCTTGGCATCTCATAAACGAAGGACGACCCCGCCCCGCCTTGTACGCACGCTTGATTGGTTGCCAAGATCGAGCTCCCGTTTCATAGGACGCCTTCCCGTTTCACAGAACGCCTTTTCGTTTCAAATAACACCTTCTCGTTACAAAGAAAACCTTCCTGTTTCAAATAACGCCTCCTCTTTCCATAGAGCGCCTTCTCGTTTCAAAGCACGCCCTCTCGTTTCAAATAACGCCTTCCCGTTTCGTAGAACCACTTCCCGTTTCATTTGAGAAGAGGTACGCTCTGCAGGAGGCTCGTGAGATAGTTACAGGATGTGAGGAAGGAAGCGTTGGCTGTAGCGTCGAGATCAGCAGGTTGGAGGAGGAGAAAGGGAAGCAGTGTGCCACCGAAATCACGAACAAACCCCACTGTGTTACGGCTGAATTGAGACGCGCAAGGAGCAAATCCACTTGACAGGAGACCAAGGTCTTGGCTCAACGGGATAAGAGGGAGATCCGGTAGGGATGGAGGAAGGGCCGTAAGGCTAACGGGAAACGCTCATGCGCGGTGTTGTCTCAAGAGTTTAATCCCTTAGCGTATGGCTCTTTTTCGACGGCACGTTGGAGGTCGGAGCTGTGGTGATGGGCACGGAAAAAGCACGGGAATTTTGACGCGCTCATATTAGCAGCCGTACCCTGAGGATCGGATTGTCGAGGTAACACCGTGCAAGCTGGTTCACGCAAGAAAAACAACATTTGTTCCCCGCAAATCCTTACTTCGTTTTTTTATAGATAGGTCACCAAATTGTGCACACTTGTCCACAAGATCGATACCTAACTTTTTACGAGTGGGGTATTTTCGATTTTTTTTTATTCACCGAATAATCGGGGTCCCGCACGTTCCTGGGACAGAAAGGCTGCGCTGGACCCTGAATATTCTGCAAATAAAAGAAAATATAGAAGAAACCCATCCGTAAAAAGTTTGGCATCGATGTTGTGGACAAGTGTGCAAAATTTGGTGTATCTAAAAAAAATCGAACGAAGGATCTGCTTTTTGTAACAACTTGAAATTTCCTTTGCGAACCCCTGATTTACTTGGATTTAGGGTAAAATGAGCTCTTTGGCCACAACAGTACGCTTGAATCGACTGCTCTACCTCAGTTCGCTCTTCGGGCAACGAAACTTTGTACAATCCTTCCACACCCTACACCGGAGCCGACCGCGTTCGATTTTTAATGTTTGGGGCATATTTACCGGCTTCCGGGGGGCCGATCCGTCAAACCCCGATTAGCGCGAAACTCCGTGAATAGTGTTGAAGAATATATTTAAGATTCATAGCATCAATACCTGTCAAGCTGCCAAATTTGGGGACTATCTAAGCTTTCCTCAGAATACGACGGAAACCGTTTCGATGCTGTCTGAGCGGTTGCTTCGTACATCCGGTGGCCATCTGACGACGCCAAAGGGCCATAACACTGGAAATCCCACCTTTTGGGGGGCGTAACTCGCTCCAACGGTGGCCGTTTTCACTTCTTTTTTTTTTGTTGGGTTCCCTTGAGCTCGAAGGTCATTTGGGGTTGAACTACGGCCGAAGAAGGTTCGTGTTGCATTGGTATTTTGAGTTGTTAATTCTCGAACAGCGTGTAGGCCACTGATTGGCTAAGACACATGTTTGCGCCTAACCACCGCAGAAAGGTGTTGTCGTATATTCCAGCTATGTCGCTGTCTTCGGCTAAGCGTGGGGGTCACTATGGTAAAGAAAGTGTGTTGATTGGTGAGTACTTTCGTTCATTATCAGTGGGGGAACAAATTTCGGGTTTCTTGCGTGAACCAGCTTGTACTTGATTGCATCCCGTTCGCCCTGGGGCCCTTCGTTCACTCGCTGCCACAGTCCTGATCTTGGCCTCGCTGAGTCAAGACCTTGGACTCCTGCAAAGTTCGACCGTTGCGTGCGGGTGTCTCTTTCAGCCGCAACGCATACTTGTGGGTCCTGTGGCACGCTGCTCCCCTTCCCACCCACTGATTTCGACGCTACGTCAACGCTTCCTTTCGTCTTGCCCCGTTGAGCCAAGGCCTTCGATTCGACTCCATGAAGGATGTTTCCTTGTTTGTGTCTCTTGTTGCCGTGACTGCGTCACTGTTGTCATGAAAAGGGTCTCCGCGGTATGCTGAACAGAACACTGCACAGTTGTTTAGGCCCGCTATAAGAGGGGATACATGAGGCGGGTACCCGCTGTAGGACGGGTGAAATTGGCTAGCACAGATGGAATATTTCAAGACGGCTAATACATTGAATAGTGCGGGTACCCGCGGCAGGGCGAGTGACATTGGCTGGCACAGATGGAATACTTCAAGATGGCTAATACATGGAATAGCGCGGGTACCCGCTACAGGGCGGGTGAATTGAGTGGCACACATGGAATGTTTCAAGACGGTTAATGCATTGAATAGTGCGGGTACCCGCTATTGGGCGTGTGAAATTGGCTGGCACATATGGAATATTCAATGATTGGTGCATTGAATAGTGCGGGTGCGCGCTAGGGGATTGGCGAGTCGGTCTGGCGCATACCCGCCTTATAGAGGGCTAACGACTGTAGTCACTGGCACGGTAGGTTCGATGTTTGCCATGTCTCGGGGGCTGGTGTCTGGTGTTTTGGCTTGATTGACGAGGGGCAAACGGTGTCCACACGTTCACATCACGTGCCGTATCTTCGTGTTTTTGATTGTTTGTTACCGTTATTTTTGTTTTTGTCGCTCGGTCACGCGAGCGCGTTGTTTTCTGCCGGGGTTTGTCGTGTTGCCTACGCAGGTGATGGACGAAGACGACAATAGCAAGAAGCTCACCATGGACGAGCACCAGGTTAGTCGATTTTTGCTGTTGCCTGTTGTCGGCGTTTTTGTTGTTTTTTTGTTGTTGATGTTGTTGTGTTGATTGTTGGCGTTGTTGTTGATGATGATGGTGGTGAAGCTGCTGGTGTTGTTGTTGTTTTTGTTGTACAGGTAGGGTCCATGGCTGGCGGTATATTCCTCCCGACAAGGTACTCGGGCTACCATGAATCAGCTCTATGTGACCCACGGCACAGCGGTATTGATGCTACGGACGCGGCGCTTGATGCCACCGCTGTTGGTTTCGATGCTCTTGTTTGCTGTTGTTGTTGTTGTTGTTGCACGTTATTGCTCGCGTTGTCGCATGCCATTGTTCACACTGATGGTAGACATGGCCATGACTCCATGCACGATAACGATAACCACAGGTGATACCGTTGGAGGGACGAACAGAGCGGCTATCGAAGGGAGACGACGTGCTGGCTGTCTACGTGGACACCACCTCCTTCTACCACGCTACCATCGCGATACCGCCGAGGGGAAGAGGCCAAATCGTAAGAACCAATCGCGTCTAGTTGGCGCACTCAATTAGGAGCAATAAGGCTTGGTCTAAATTGTTCGAAGGAACGAGGGGAAGAAGTCAAATCAAGACGGCGCTCGTGTCGAGGTGGCGCTTAACATTTAGAGCAATTATGTGAACGATAAGGTTTAGATGTCGTTTATGTAAGAACTCAGAAACACGGGTCCCGCCTACACTACGGTATGTATTACAACCCGTGCTCAACGGACGGTGGTCAAGCAGTACTATATTATCCTCGACCACAGGGTATTGTGTTCTTCTCTCCGCGGGGCAACTAACTGCAGTGTACCTTGCAGAGTACCCTTACTTGCCTCTAGTTTGACTCGCACAGGAATCTATCTCCAGTCGCACCCACCTGGTGCTCCCCGTAACAACTATTGTAAGTTTTTTTTTGTTTTTAGCGAAAGCGGCCGCTACTGGAAAGTATCTACACCGTCCGTATTACGGCGGGGCAAGAGACGTCACGGCAGAGGACCTGATGTGCGCAAGCAGACACACTGCTGCTGCTTCCTTCGTGTGGGCGCGCTGTTTCCTTTCGATTTCTCTATCCCCGAAACCCTGCAGGGAAGAGCATATCGACGCCGGAGCCGAACGCTCAAGAGGCGACGAATGCTTTTTTTCTTTCCGGTCTTGTTCCCATGTCTTTGCGGGGGGCTGCAAGCGGGCGGGGCTCACCTACGGCCTCTGCCGGCAGAATGATGGTTTCCGCCTCGTGTATCCCGCCCCTTGCCGCAACGACTGCATCGTACGTGCGACCAATTCCGGTAACAACAACGGAGCGGGGGCGCTTATTATCAGACCAACCACCCTCTCTTCTTGTGCCACATCCAGACCTGACGTGGCATGCCCTCACGACCTCCCGCCTCGCCACGTCGTCTCGCAACCCTTGCGTTTTTTTTTGTTCTCAGGGAAATGGGGGGACGGCGCACGTGCAATTCGTGGACGATGCGGACGAGCACGGCGTTACGCCGCACCGGGCGGTGCCAATCATTCACATAATAAAGCTCCCGCTGGGCTCGTGATATTTTTCCCGGTGTGGTCGTGGTGTCCATTCTGTCTTTTGAGGGAGGCGAGAACCAGCAGCAGCACAACTGCGGCTTGTTCGTCCGTGTTTGCTGGCGGTGGGCATCTTTCCTCGGATTGGTAGGTGTTAGTAGTAGGTGTTGTGGGAGGCTGTAAGTTGGTTCATGTGCCGAACAACCTCCGAAGCCTGTGGGTGAATCCATTGGCTTTGGCGGCCTCGGACTTGTGCGCTGTACCTGCCTGCCTTGGAGGAGAGTTTTGCGGAGAGTTGATCATTGGACGGAGCATGCCGGCAGCGGGTTATTCCCAGACAGATGCACGATAGCTGCTGTAGCCTCAAGAGTAGCCTTTGATGCATGTTCCTCTTCAGGACGCACGCGTTTGCATGTAGCCCCCAACGGTATTGGATTGTTGTGGGAAGATCACGTTGCCTTCTTCGTGAAGAAGAGAGAATCGACTTCGACGGACGTTTCGAGTGTATGGATGCGGGGATGGTGCATGCATGCAACCTTTCGTGTTGGAAGGTGACATCCACTTGACTGATCCCTTCGTGAACGCCACTGCTACTGCTTGCCGTGGATACTCAACTCGCATTGAGTGGAGTCAAAGTCACACCTGACGGGGGGAGCACTTAAGACCGGAGGCTTAAGCCTGCGATCACCGGGGGACAGCGTCAGTTCGTTGTCGATATAGTCCACGGGAGGAAATAATATGTGCCAAGGATATGACCGGAGCGGGGCTCACTCTGTCAAAATTCTGATTGGCTTCTTGTCGTGTGAAGGTGTGAGCGAATGGTGAATGCCCCCATCTTCGGCATTGTCTTCCCCACGTCGAAGATCCACCACACACAACTGGTGGAGCCGCAGTGGCAAATCGAATCATCGTGTAAAGATCTATTATTGCTGGGTTGACTTGCGTCCCGTAAGAAAAGTATCCGCAGCCATTGCATATAATATCTTGATGTGTGGGCCGGTACTCGTACGGAGAGCCAATGCCGCGCGGGCGGCCCAGTTGTCTCGATGTGGTCTGCAGTAGTGGGTAACGTCTTGTTAACCTTCCAGTAGTAGTAGTCTACTTCGTATGTTGTTGGCTCAGTTGCAGTGGTGGTTGGTGTCGCTTGAATCTCGCTCTCTCGCATGGCCCTGAGTGAGCAATTTGCAAGTTCTGCACAAAAATCAGATGTCTTTTCTCGCTCTCTCAGATTGTTACCCCACAAACAATGGACTTGTAGGGAGTATCGTTAGGTGAACCTTTCGAAGGCGAAAACGTACGCACGCATGCAGGGGAAAAAAAGTGATCGGATGAGAAAAATGCCTTGAGTGCTACCCTTCTCCTGTGCGCAGTTCATAATCAATCCCCGGCGGTTGATGATAATAGTAATATAAATGCACATGCGTAGTGCGTGTAGGCTTTTGGCCCGCTACTGTAGGAGGGTATGGGCGCACGAGTTTTTTTATTTATTTGTAGAGGCGACGAAGCACAATTACAATCTTACGCAAGCATTTTGTGACTTCTACACAAACAATGTATTGTAGCCGATATGGCAGAAAACATAAGACTACAGAAAGAAAAAACGCGTGATAATAAATAAATGTGCCGCATGCATCAACCTATCTCTGTACCTCTGTATCCAGCAACAGCCAGCTGTTGCGCACCGTGGCAAAGACAACACAACAATTAATTTTTTTCATGTTGTAGTTGGCGTGTTCTACATGTATGGTAATCTACCACTATTTTATTATCCTCATTCAGGTTGTTACTTGGTGAAAATCTATGCAAGCAAGCGGCTTGTACCGAGACTATGTTTGCCAACGCTAACAGGCCAAAAAATCTTCGAACAACTGGGAGGAGAGGCACGAACCCCGCGGCGGCCGGGTGGCCCCGCCTTTTTCCGTCGACAAGCATCTGCACGGGGACGGCTCACGTGCGTGCCCCCTGTCCATTTTTCTGTGAAAAGGCACTCTTCTCGTTCCTATAATTGCGCGAGTTCCCGAAAAGTTACCCCGCGATCCTCTCTCTGGCACCACCCCCCACCATACTCACTCATTCCCACAACCCACAACCACTTTTCCTCTCCTCTTTCTTGAAGCATCTTTACAGCTAAAAGGAACTTTTGACAGCCAACCACAAAAACAACATCAACGACAGCAGCAGCAGCAGCAGCAGCAGCAGCAGCATGGGTTTCCAGAAGGAAGTGCTCAAGCCGGCTCCCGCCGGTGCCCAGAAGCCTCAAAAGTGAGACGGGGAAGAGGTTGCTGTAGCGGTGCGTCATCACTCGTTCTTCCGGTGTTCGCCGGCGGGGGTATGTTTAGTACTTGTCCGTTGGATGTCGCCCTTGCCTCTGTCCACTGTATTTCCCATATTATGTTTGGGTGTGCCGTGTAGTTGTACAATTGGGGCGGATATAGGGTCGGCCACAGCTTGCACCATGCGCTCACGCCCGCCCGCCGGTATGTATGCACATTTTCCTTTGGCTGGCTGCAGATGGTTGTGGAGGTGCTACAACCCCGCGGTTCTTCTCTGTGTGGACGTACTTCGTGGAGATTTTGGAAGCTCTGCGACGCGATGTTCGCCCTGATATGTTGATTGCTTACTTTTTCCATTTTTCCACAAAGAAAGTCGGCCAACCCCGTGGATCTTGTTTTCTATAAACACCAGGGCCTTCACGGACAAACGCACTTTTTTTTGTTGAGACGGCAGCAGCAGTCAAAGTTCAGCCCTTTCCTTTTTGTCCGTGCATCTCGCTCGCTGCTGTTCCTCGCGGTGACAACAACAACAACAACAACAACGACAACAACAACAGGGGGCAGAAGGTGACCGTGCACTGCACCGGGTACGGAAAGAACCGCGACTTGTCCGAGAAGTTCTGGAGCACGACCGATCCAGGACAGGTGAACCGCGGATTTCAGGCGGGGAAACCTCCGCCTCGTTTGCTCTATTTCCGTTGTATGATATGTATGTTGTTTTTGTTGTTGTTGTTGTTGTTGTTGTTGTTGTTGCTGCTGCCTTGACATTGAAAACCGTCCCGTTCTCTCTGCCCAGTACCTTCTTCTGTCCGTACTAATCTAGCACATGACGGTGTCGATTCCCGTTGTCACAGGCCTAGACTACGCATACATATTTACATGTTGAAGCAAATTGCCTGCCCCCGGAGCAGAGAACAATAGGGAACCTTTGGTACTTGTACCACTGGCCGCATTTTCGGCCAACACAGCAGTTATTTGCCGACTGGATTATTTTGGAGTGGGAAAACGGGGGGAGGCTAGCTCTCGTCTTCCAAGGCGTGTTTGTCGTTGGCCTGCGCAATGTCTCATGTATGTGTCCCTCCTCTATCGGCCACGTTGAGCGAACCCACCGTCTGTGTGTGTGTGTGTGTATGTTGTTTTTTCACAGCAGTGTGTGTGGATTTCTTGAAGTAGCAAAAACCCGTGTGCCCGTGTTGTTGAAGGTTGTAATAATGTTCCGTCTTCACCCCTGTAGACAGGCCCTCAACCGCCCGGTGTGGGCATACATTTGTTTCAACTAGTCCAGAGCTGCCAAGCGGGCCGGCCGCCTTTGCTTGCCTGCTGCTGCTGCTGTCATAGCCGCCACGGGTTTTATCTTGAAGCGGACTTGCCTCTTGTTGTCAGGGTCGGCATGCACACGATCAGTTGCGGCCGTGGTGTGTCTAGTATGAAACCAAAGTACTTGAGAATAGTTCCCTTCCCGTGAATAGAGCTGCCGCAAGTGATGCTGCGGCCGGTCCGGTCCGGTCCGTCCTTCCTCAACTACTGCGCACCCCCGGGTTTGTGGCTGTAGTTATGAGCGTGCAGAGGGGTTCAACCTGTGAACGTCACCACGAGCACAAGAGCTCTCCGGTCTCGTTGCAGCCAAAAAAAAACAAAAAGTGCTGGATGTGGAAAGTCTTTTCTGTAGTTGGACTGAAACCAATTGGAGACTTGGCTTATTTTGAGTTTGTGCAAGCCTAACACTGAGTTTGGAGCTAAGAACAAAAGCATCTGTATAGGTGGACACATTCTTAATTTTATGTGGAATGTGGCCTTCACAGGGAACATGGCGCAGTGTTGTTTGACAACTTGCTGTTTCTAGAAGGTAAACGTTTTTACTGCAAGTAGTTATATTTACGACCTCTCCTGCCTTACTTCATCCTTCCATGCCTCATCCCCTCCTTTGTTTTGAAAGGGTTCCATTCATGCACCCCCAGAGGGTAGCCGGTGGTACACAGGTCGACACCAATCCCGGGCCATGAAAGCTCCCCGGCCAAAAAAGCGACACAGACAGAAGCGACGGCGCTTTCATGGGCACAATTTTTGCTTCTAGTTTTATCTCTTTGTGATTGCTGTCGGTGCGGATCGAATCTCGCACAATTTATGTAGGTGCATGTGCACGACGCATGTGGACTGAAGTTCCGCACCCGTGTGCATGTGTAGTACGTGTCTCGGCGGTACTCATCCTAGTCTGAGCGAGCGATAGGAGGAAAGCGTCCACTCCGTAGTATTGTATATATCCTCCCGCGCTGTTATACCCTGCCTGCAGGGGGGTTTATTTTAGAGAGTAAACATAACCTCACAGAAAGACTACCCGTTCGAGATTAGTATAACGGAAGGAGAGGCAAGGGATAAGGGCGGGTCCCATGCCTGTGTGGATCTGTGTGGTATCTACCCATTCAAGTGGCAGAACCCTGGGTGTCGAGAGGAATTGTCCAGAGAGCAATGTACATTGGACCCAGCCTACAAGCACTGCTACCGACCTGATGATAACAGCCTCTCGATCGGTACCGAGTTCTGTAGGTGAGCCGGGACAGCGGTAGTCCATTGATTCATATACTACCGCATAAAAATATGAATCAATGGACTACCGCTGTCCCGGCTCATCTACAGAACTCGGTACCGATCGAGAGGCTGCTATCATCAGGTCGGTAGCAGTGCTTGTAGGCTGGGTCCCATGTACATTGCTCTCTGGACAATTAATTCCCCTCGACACCCAGGGTTCTGCCACTTGAATGGCTAGAGACCACAGACCCACATAAACATAGGACCCGCCTTCAATTGACTACCGCTGTTCCGGCCCATCTACCGAACTCGGTACCGATCGAGAGGCTGCTATCATCAGGTCGGTAGCAGTGCTTGTAGGCTGGGTCCCATGTACATTCCTCCCTGGACAATTCCTCTCGACACCCAGGGTCCTGCCACTTGAATGGCTAGTCTAGAGACCACACAGACCCACACAGGCATAGGACCCGCCTTCAATTTACTACTGCTGTTCCGGCTCATCTACCGAACTCGGTACCAATCGAGAGGCTGCTATCATCAGGTCGGAAGCAGTGCTTGTAGGCTGGGTCCCATGTACATTCCTCTCTAGACAATTCCTCTCGACACCAAGTGTCCTGCCACTTAATGCCTAGAAACCACACAGACCCACGTAGACGTAGGACCCGCCCTTATCCCTAGCCTCTCCTTCCGTTATACATAACCTCAGTCGAAAGGGATGTGGTGGAAGTCTTTTCAGCAAGTGGATTGAAACGAACTGGAGACTTGGGGCTTATTTTGAGTTTTGTGTAAGCCTAACACTGAGCTCTCAGTAATGCCAGTTCGAGCTAAGAACAAAAGCATCTGTATAGGTGGACACATCCTTAAATTTATGTGGAATGTGGCCTTCACAGGGAACATGGCGCAACGTCGTTTGACAACTTGCTGTTTTTACAAGGTACTTCGCTGCTGTTTTAGGCGACTTGAATATAGACTACAGTATGCACAGCTGTACGACTGTTGTACATGTACACGCACCACAGAAAATTTCTGTTTTTTTTTGAATTTCAAAAGTTGGAGTTGCACTGCTGTAGATTTGAGTGTGGCTGTTTCCCGCTTATTTTGCAATCTACACTGTGGTTCTTAGTGGAGGTGAAACGCGTTGGAGGAGGATACATAGTATAGTAGGTTAGGAGTGATCCTGATTTACAGCAATGGAGTTTAGTCTTTCTTGTGTGTAACGTATCATCGAGGCAAATGAACAGGCGGCGTTTTTTGTTTGCTTGGTCAACCCGAGACGATTTTATTCAGTGGAAACAACTCGGCTGGGTTGACGTGCAATAGCGACTGCCGGGGTGTAGTTACAACAGCGGTGTTGGTGATGTTTGTACAACTCCGGGCCGGGTGGCGGAGTGAGGTTGGAGAGTCAATCCCGGTCGAGAGAGATGGAACGCCCCAATAAGAGTACATACTTGTGCAAGGCTGCATCTTGTCGCTGACGTAGCGGCCGGGGGTCTTTTTCTTTTTTGCCGCAGTAGACTAAATAGACGGTATGGTATACAATCATGAAAGACTAGTCTTACCATTCAGTACGACTGCTTGTAACCAAGCAA